GACATGTACTGGCTTAAGCAGGGGGACACGTCTAGCACTGCAGGATTTGAGTCCCTGGCGGCGTAGTGTGTTACTGATGGTAGGCTTTGTTACTTTGGTCCCAGCTCTCTGCAGGTCATTCACTAGGTCCCCCCGTGTGGTTCTGGGATTTTTGCTCACCGTTCTTGTGATCATTTTGACCCCACGGGGTGAGATCTTGCGTGGAGCCCCAGATCGAGGGAGATTATCAGTGGTCTTGTATGTCTTCCATTTCCTAATAATTGCTCCCACAGTTGATTTCTTCAAACCAAGCTGCTTACCTATTGCAGATTCAGTCTTCCCAGCCTGGTGCAGGTCTACAATTTTGTTTCTGGTGTCCTTTGACAGCTCTTTGGTCTTGGCCATAGTGGAGTTTGGAGTGTGACTGTTTGAGGTTGTGGACAGGTGTCTTTTATACTGATAACAAGTTCAAACAGGTGCCATTAATACAGGTAACGAGTGGAGGACAGAGGAGCCTCTTAAAGAAGAAGTTACTGGTCTGTGAGAGCCAGAAATCTTGCTTGTTTGTAGGTGACCAAATACTTATTTTCCACCATAATTTGCAAATAAATTCATTAAAAATCCTACAATGTGATTTTCTGGATTTTCTTTTCTCAATTTGTCTGTCATAGTTGACGTGTACCTATGATGAAAATTACAGGCCTCTCTCATCTTTTTAAGTGGGAGAACTTGCACAATTGGTGGCTGACTAAATACTTTTTTTCCCCACTGTAAATGCCTGGAATATTTCAATTTTGGAGAATCTCTTGTAAAATGGGTTAAAGTTATGTATAGTAACCCTAGGTGTAAAATAGTAAATCATGGCTACTTCTCAGAAAGTATTAAACTGTCAAGAGGAGTAAAACAAGGTTGTCCAGTATGGGCATATCTATTTATTATGGCCATCGAAATGTTAGCTATTAAAATCAGATCCAACAATAATATCAAGGGGTTAGAAATCCAGGGCTTAAAAACAAAGGTGTCATTGTAAGCTGATGATTCATGTTTTCTTTTAAATCCACAATTTGGATCCCTCCACAGCCTCATAGAGGATCTAGATACTTTTTCTAAGATCTCTGGATTACAACCAAATTATGATATTACATATTGGATCACTAAAACATACAACTTTTACATTACAGTGTAGTTTACCAATAAAATGGTCTGACTGTGATGTGGATGTCCTCGGAATACATATACCTGAAATAAAGAAATTATCTCACTACAATACATTTTTATAGAAAGTTAGCAAAAATAGATAAGATCTTGCTACCATGGAAAGGAAGATCTATTTGTGGAAAAATCACCCTGATTAACTCTTCAGTCATACTGCAGTTTACCTATTTGCTTTTAGTCTTGCCTACACCTAGTGACCTGTTTTTATTTTTAATATATGAGCAAAAAATTAGCAAAAAATATTACTTTTTATTTGGAACAGCAAGCCAGACAAAATCAAACAGGCCTATTTATATAATGAATATGAGGGCAGAAATTATTTAATAATAAAGCATTAGACCTCTCACTAAAGGACTCAGTCATACAAAAGTTATACTTAAATCCGAACTGGTTCTCTAGCAGATTAGTAAGAATGTCTCATCCCATGTTCAAGAATGGCCTTTTTCCCTTTTTATTCAGATTACAACCTCTCACTTTCAGTTATTTGAAAATGAAATCATCTCCAAAGTATGGCTTTTTTTTATACAAGCCATAGAAAGTTGGTTGCAATTTCAGTTTAATCCACCAGAATAGACAGAACAAATAATACAACAAACATTGTGGTTAAACTCAAATATACTAATTGATAAAAAAAACATAATTTTTCGTTTATAAAAAAAAAAAGTATAATCTATGTAAATGATATGACAAATAGGACTGGTGGAGTTATGTCACACATGCAGCTAACAAAAATATATGGAAATGTCTGCTCTACCCAAAATTACAACCAACTAATTGCAGCATTACCGAAAAAAATGGAAGAGTCAAGTGGAAGGGGGAAAAAGTAAGGAACCTGTCTGTCGGCCCTGCATTAAAGACCAAAATTGTTTAAAGAAAATTGTGATAGATAAAAAAGTATGCCAGTTTAATTTAAGGACCAAAAAATGGACAGCTGTGCCATATACTGTAGATTGCAAAATAGTTGGGAAGAGATTTTCGATGTACCGATTCCATGACATATTGTTTATGAACTGATACGCAAAACGACGCCGGATTCAAAAAGTTTAATTTTTCAATTTAAATTATTATACAAAATTCTTGCAACCAATAGAATGTTATATACAGCTCTGGAAAAAAGTAAGAGACCACTGCAAAATTATCAGTTTCTCTGGTTTTACTATTTATAGGTATGTGTTTGGGTAAAAATAACATTTTTGTTTTATTCTATAAACTACTGACAACATTTCTCCCAAATTACAAATACAAATATTGTCATTTAGAGCATTTATTTGCAGAAAATGACAACTGGTCAAAATAACAAAAAAGATGCAGTGTTGTCAGACCTCGAATAATGCAAAGAAAATAAGTTAATGTTCATTTTTAAACAACACAATACTAATGTTTTAACTAAGGAAGAGTTCAGAAATCAATATTTGGTGGAATAACCCTGATTTTCAATCACAGCTTTCATGCGTCTTGGCATGCTCTCCACCAGTCTTTCACATTTATGTTGGGTTACTTTATTCCACTCCTGGCGCAAAAATTCAAGCAGCTCGGCTTTGTTTGATGGCTTGTGACCATCCATCTTCCTCTTGATCACATTTCAGAAGTTTTCATTGGGGTTCAGGTCTGGAGATTGGGCTGGCCATGACAGGGTCTTGATCTGGTGGTCCTCCATCCACACCTTGATTGACCTGGCTGTGTGGCATTTGTTGTCCTGCTGGAAAAAACAATCCTCAGAGTTGGGGAACAATGTCAGAGCAAAAGGAAGCAAGTTTTCTTCCAGGACAACCTTGTACGTGGCTTGATTCATGCGTCCTTCACAAAGACAAATCTGCCCGATTCCAGCCTTGCTGAAGCACCTCCAGATCATCACCGATCCTCCACCAAATTTCACAGTGGGTGCGAGACACTGTGGCTTGTAGGCCTCTCCAGGTCTCCGTCTAACCATTAGATGACCAGGTGTTGGGCAAAGCTGAAAATTGGACTGAGAAGATGACCTTACTCCAGTCCTCTACGGTCCAATCCTTATGGTATTTTGCAAACCTCAGCCTGGCTCTTCTTTGCTTCTCATTGATGAAGGGCTTTTTTCTAGCTTTGCACGACTTCAGCCCTGCCCCTAGGAGCCTGTTTCGAACCGTCCTCGCCGTGCACGTCACCCCAGCTGCCATTTGCCATTCTTTTTGTAGAGAAGAAGAGACTTGCTTGGGCCAAGAAGAAGAGACTTGCTTGGGCCAAGAAACACGAGCTATGGACATTAGACCGGTGGAAATCTGTCCTTTGGTCTAATGAGTCCAAATTGGAGATTTTTGGTTCCAACCACCGTGTCTTTGTGAGACACAGAGTAGGTGAAATGGATGATCTCTGCACGTGTGGTTCCCACCATGAAGCATGGAGGAGGAGGTGTGATGGTGTGGGGGTGCTTTGCTGGTGACACTGTCTGTGATTTATTTAGAATTCAAGGCACACTTAACTGTGGTCCTCTGTAGCTCAATTGGTAGAGCATGGCGCTTGTAACGCCAGGGTAGTGGGTTCGATCCCTGGGACCACCAATACCTAAAAATAGAGTGATGGAGTGCTGCATCAGATGACCTGGCCTCCACAATCACCTGACCTCAACCCAATTGAGATGGTTTGAAGGAAAAACAGCCAACAAGTGCTCAGCATATGTGGGAACTCCTTCAAGACTGTTGGAAAAGCATTCCTCATGAAGCTGGTTGAGAGAATGCCAAGAGTGTGTAAAGCTGTCATTAAGGCAAAGGGTGGATATTTGAAGATTTTTTTTATTTGTTTAACACTTTTTTGGTTACTACATGATTCCATATGTGTTATTTCATAGCTTTGATGTCTTCACTATTATTCTACAATGTAGAAAATAGTAAAAATAAAGAAAAACCCTGGAATGAGTAGGTATTCTGAAACGTTTGACCGGTAGTATATATATATATATATATATATATATACACATATACTGTATATATATATTTACAAAAATATACATATTTACAAAAATATACATGGGCGATTGTAAATGATGGAGACAATTACGTTGATGGAAGCTACAATCTATCTGCAATATTAAAGCTGATCTACCCCCTAAGATTTTAAAAAAAAAAATAATGTATGTAGTAAAAAGTACATTATTGTCTTTAGGAATATATTGGAGTAAAAGTAAAAGTTGTCAAAATATAAATAGTAAAAAAAGTACAGATACCCCCCAAAACTCCTTAAGCAGTACTTTAAAGTATTTTTTCTTAAGTACTTCACACCACTGCTAAAAGCAGATCATACAGTCAGATAGACATACTGTATTAAGAGGAGAGCTGTCATTTACCGCAGGGTTTCCCAAACTCGGTCCTGGGCCCCCCCAGTTTCAGAAACTCTGATTTAACGTACTGTAATGTACCTCTCTGTGTTTGTCTCTTGTCGAGAGAGCGAGAGAGAGAGGACAGTAGGCCTGGCTGGGCAGCTCCCTCCCAGTGCTATTGTCCTTCCTCAGGGACAGACAGTGACAGTTATTGAGACCGATGGAGGGTTTCCTCCCTGCCACCCTGTTTTACTGCCTACTGGGCTGCTAGAGGCCTACAACACAGTGTATATCAGCCAGCCTGGATTCACCTGGTCAGTCTATGTCATGGAAAGAGCAGGTGATTCTAATGTTTTGTACACACAGTGTATGTGTTTCCATATGATTATACTATACTACCGCTGGGTTAATAACCTGTATTATGCTTGTGTAACTATACAAGACGATAGCTTACTGCCAGTAGACAACCTATCTGTGTGTTTCTATGTAAGACTGTACTATAACCTGTATATATGTGTTTCTATACAGGACAATAGCCTATTGCCAGTGGGTAGACAACCTGGAGGAGACCCAGAAGATGCTGTCAGTCACTGGACCTCTCAGTGACATGCTAAAGTGGATCCTCAGCCACCTGAACAGCAGCATGGTGCAAAGGCAGATGTACGGCCACGGCATCGGACGCTTCTCCAAGGAGGAGGTCTACAAGCTGATGGAGAAGGACATGCGCACACTGGCCGAACTGCTGGGTATGTATGGAGAGGTACAGGGGGATGGGAGGGTAGGGGTAGACAGAGGGTGAATCCCAAATCAACCCTTAGGCACTACCCTTAGGCCTAGGCACTTGTGTAGATATGAGAGGATCGGACTAGTGTAAGCAATATAGCGATAATTCTCCCTGGCCTATCAGAGGGCAAAATGGAGCAACAACCATATTGCTTACAGCGATCCAATCCTCTCAGATCTACAGAAGTGCCTAGGTGGTTGGGACTAGGGGTTGATTTGGGATTCAGGGAGAGACTAGAGGCAACTGAAGGACAACTGATGTTGTAGCCAATTTCTCAACGCTCTCACAGTATTGAGAAATTGGCTACTGATGATGGAGATATGAGGAACAATGGGAAAGGAAGGCTTCCTAATCATCCGGTATCACTTATAACATGGGGTCAGTTGAAGTTCACTGTAAGATTGACTTTGTAGTGGGGTATGTCCTTTATGCACAGCTCCATTTTACTCTCTTCCACTCTCTAGTGGTGAGATAATGTATATGCACAGTGCTTCCAACTACAATATGTGTTTCAAATGTCTTTTAGTAGGGAAAAGAGCCGAGAATGTCTATTGATTTTAGCGTAAAATCTTTGCAAGGTCGTAAACTATAGTGTCATCTTTGCAAGGTCGTAAACTATAGTGTAATATGTGCAATTTGAATTTACTTTATAACGCTTTTAATATAACTACTATAACGTCAAACTGTTCTCCTGGTTGGCTGGGTGTTTCCCTGTGGGTATGTTGATGGTTGGTTGATGCATGGTTGATGCTTGGTTGATGCTTGGTTGATAGTTGGTTGATAGTTGACTGATTTTTGACTGATAGTTGACTGATTGTTGACTGATAGTTGACTGATATTTGCTGATAGTTTGCTGATGGTTGGTTGATATCTGTTACTGACCTCAGTTGTTAATCTGTCCTGCAGGAGATAAGAAGTACTTCATGGGGCATAAGATGTCGACAGTAGACACTGCTGTGTTTGGTCACCTGGCCCAGGCCATGTGGACACTACCTGGCACACGACCTGAACAGCTCATCAAAGGTCAGTTCAATCTCTCAGCCTCTCTGTGAAATGTTTTACTCATACTCACAATACCAAAGCATCATAATTGATTGGTTTTAAAAGTGTGCATTGTGATTGTGCTATTATTGTGTTATTGTTATTATGTTGTTATCAAGATTGTATCCAAAAATTCTGTACCTAATGTATTATTCTATAGATTTAAAGGCATGTGGAGAATAGGATGCAATAAGGTCCTCCTGTTTTATACAGGTGTACTTGCCTACTTCTTCCACTAGATGACAGTGAAAGACTGTAATGTGCAGTGTTGTTGCACATTTACTAGTCATGGTTTCAGCCTTTAGAGAACAGAGACAATCAGAGATGAAAGACTCTCTTTTCATTTTTGAACTGTACAAAATCTGACAATCAAGGTCTAAATATGAAATCAGAGGATGCTCTGATACTGATGTACATTTTCCTTGAGTACTGATGTTGGAACGTTTCAGCCTTTAGAGAACAGAGACAATCAGAGATGAAAGACTCTCTTTTCATTTTTGAACTGTACAAAATCTGACAATCAAGGTCTAAATATGAAATCAGAGGATGCTCTGACACTGATGTACATTTTCCTTGAGTACTGATGTTGGAACCTGTACTTCCTGTATCCCCTGTCCCCTGTGTTTTAGGCGAGCTCATCAACCTGGCCATGTTCTGTGAGCGCATGCGGAGAAAGTTCTGGCCTGAGTGGTTTGTGGACATAGAGGACCTGTACTATGACGGAGCAGACACTGACAGCAGCGAGGGCTCTCCTACAGGCCTGATGGACTTTGGCCTGTTCTCCAGGACAGACACCATGGAGGAGAGTGAAGCCTCCGACAAACACACACACTCACACACTCACTCCCCCGATACGGACCACTCGCTGTTTGACTCGGACGTGGGCACGGGCTCAGACAACGAGCCGCAGCTCAAGTGTGAACCTCCAAGTCCTGACCCTCCTAATCCTGCCCCTTCCAAACCCAGTCCCAAACCTCCCAACCCTTGACCCACCCTCATCCTGGGAGGTGGGGTGGGTTTGGCTGAGGCGGTCAGACGGCCGGAACTTCGAACTAATCAGGGCGCTGCTATCTGGATTGGCATCATAGAGCTGCGGAACACAGAGGCACAGTTCTCGCTTCTGCTGCTGCCCCTCCCTCTCTTCCAGAGATCTGTGCTCACACATGGAGGCGCAGTTATATCCCATGATGACTGAAAACTGTATCCTAACAATGTAATATCAGTGCGCCCAGACAAACTGGGTATTTGTATGCAGAGCGTATAAATCGAACCCCCTGTTACATGTGTTACAGTAATATGATTTCCTCACCCCTAGTGATTGTAACATTGCCAATATGGCACTATCACAGACATTGCCTTATTTGTGTCAGTTGTCCCAGGGTACAGACTAGTGTAAAACATTATTAGAGAGATTGTTGGTGGAACCAGTTAGTGGTGCATCTGTCCATGGAATACAGACAACATGGTTGTTTCTTAGAAATGTAGCTAGTGAAAGAGAGACGATGATGATGGTAGCAGAAACATGAAAACACTGGATTTGAGAGGAAACGGAGGACAGTCATTTGCTATAACTTGGACACATATTGTAAAGAGTGATATATAAAGAATGTTTGACTTGGGTGGCTGCTCTAGTCTGTGTCTTACTAACGGTGGGCTGTTCTACTAGTAGTCCTATTGTTTGTGGCTTGCTGCTGAGCATCAGCCATAATCACTGGCCTTTCCATCAACTCTGTGTCTAACTTCACTCTAGTAAAGGAGATTGGGATACACGAAAGGAACTGGAGATGTAACACTCTTGTCGGAGTACACTTACTAGTACAGGCTGGTTGTAGATCCGTCTCTTGTATCTCACCACTAGAGGGTGCTGTATCTATACATCCATCCTGCGGTCTATTTAACTCTATGGTCTTGAGTCCTGTCAGTTTCTGCCACTTGGAATGTTAAAGGCCCAGTGCAGTCAAAAACGTAATTTTCCTGTGTTTTATGATATTGTGAAATGATATTGTGAAATGATTGGAATGATATTGGGAAAATTATGATAATGCCCTTTCAGTGTAAGAACTGTTTGAAAAGACTGCCTGAAATTTCAGTCTGTTTTGGCCTGCCTGGTGACATCAGACCAATAATAATATGCCATTTAGCAGACGCTTTTATCCAAAGCGACTAGCAGACGCTTTTATCCAAAGCGACTTACAGTCATGCGTGCATACATTTTTGTGTATGGGTGGTCCCGGGGATCGAACCCACTACCCTGGCGTTACAAGCGCTGTGCTCTACCAGCTGAGCTACAGAGGACCACAATAAGAATAGACCATTAAGAAATAGAGTTCCAAACCTGTCTGCCAATAACAGCTAGTTTTCAGTTTTCCCCTCCCCACCCAGACCACTCCCAGACAGTCCTAGCAAAATTTTAGCTTGAGAATTTGCTCTTTGCTAAGAAGCTGTTTTTGTTTCTTTTTGACAATTTTAATTGAAAACAATCACAGTAAGGTACGTAAATGTTACCCAGAAATTATTTGAATTTGAGATAAAAACAGCTGCATTGGATCTTTAATGAAATAATAACAATAATCCAAAGCATTCTTTATCACTTCAGTATTAACACCAAACTAATACAGAAAGTTACTGAAAACAGAATGGAAAGGCCCATTTGTAGGAAGTAGTGTTATCCCTTTACGTGTGTGTGTCTGAGAGAAAGAGACCGGAAAGATGATAGTGGGCTGTAATATGACTACATTACTACGTACAGTGAGGGAAAAAAGTATTTGATCCCCTGCTGATTTTGTACGTTTGCCCACTGACAAAGACATGATCAGTCTATAATTTTAATGGTAGGTTTATTTGAACAGTGAGAGACAGAATAACAACAAAAAAATCCAGAAAAACGCATGTCAAAAATGTTATAAATTGATTTGCATTTTAATGAGGGAAATAAGTATTTGACCCCTCTGCAAAACATGACTTAGTACTTGGTGGCAAAACCCTTGTTGGCAATCACAGAGGTCAGACCATTCTTGTAGTTGGCCACAAGGTTTGCACACATCTCAGGAGGGATTTTGTCCCACTCCTCTTTGCAGATCTTCTCCAAGTCATTAAGGTTTCGAGGCTGACGTTTGGCAACTCGAACCTTCAGCTCCCTCCACAGATTTTCTATGGGATTAAGGTCTGGAGACTGGCTAGGCCACTCCAGGACCTTAATGTGCTTCTTCTTGAGCCACTCCTTTGTTGCCTTGGCCGTGTGTTTTGGGTCATTGTCATGCTGGAATACCCATCCACGACCCATTTTCAATGCTCTGGCTGAGGGAAGGAGGTTCTCACCCAGGATTTGATGGTACATGGCCCTGTCCATCGTCCCTTTGATGCGGTGAAGTTGTCCAGTCCCCTTAGCAGAAAAACACCCCCAAAGCATAATGTTTCCACCTCCATGTTTGACGGTGGGGATGGTGTTCTTGGGGTCATAGGCAGCATTCCTCCTCCTCCAAACACGGCGAGTTGAGTTGATGCCAAAGAGCTCGATTTTGGTCTCATCTGACCACAACACTTTCACCCAGTTCTCCTCTGAATCATTCAGATGTTCATTGGCAAACTTCAGACGGGCATGTATATGTGCTTTCTTGAGCAGGGGGACCTTGCGGGCGCTGCAGGATTTCAGTCCTTCACGGCGTAGTGTGTTACCAATTGTTTTCTTGGTGACTATGGTCCCAGCTGCCTTGAGATCATTGACAAGATCCTCCCGTGTAGTTCTGGGCTGATTCCTCACCGTTCTCATGATCATTGCAACTCCACGAGGTGAGATTTGCATGGAGCCCCAGGCTGAGGGAGATTGACAGGTCTTTTGTGTTTCTTCCATTTGCGAATAATCGCACCAACTGTTGTCACCTTCTCACCAAGCTGCTTGGCGATGGTCTTGTAGCCCATTCCAGCCTTGTGTAGGTCTACAATCTTGTCCCTGACATCCTTGGAGAGCTCTTTGGTCTTGGCCATAGTGGAGAGTTTGGAATCTGATTGATTGATTGCTTCTGTGGACAGGTGTCTTTTATACAGGTAACAAGCTGAGATTAGGAGCACTCCCTTTAAGAGTGTGCTCCTAATCTCAGCTCGTTACCTGTATAAAAGACACCTAGGAGCCAGAAATCTTTCTGATTGAGAAGGGGTCAAATACTTATTTCCCTCATTAAAATGCAAATCAATTTATAACATTTTTGACATGCGTTTTTCTGGATTTTTGTTGTTGTTGTCTCTCACTGTTCAAATAAACCTACCATTAAAATTATAGACTGATCATTTCTTTGTCAGTGGGCAAACGTACAAAATCAGCAGCGGATCAAATACTTTTTTCCCTCACTGTATGATATAAGCCTTAGTGCACAGAAATTATGAAAAGGGGTTGAATGTGAATCGTGAATGCAGATTGATTTAGCTTTCTTCACTCAGTAACTCACTCTTATTTGAAAACAGTGCCAGCACTTTGTATTTATATTAAACTTAAGTTTGCAATGTTTTATCATTTGTATCTTTATTGCTCTCAAGGAGAGAAATCATTTTGCAATATTTATTTTTTAATGTAATGGGATTGTTATGATAAGATGGTAGCTAATGCCAAATGAATAGACTGGGATGTGAATATCTATGGGTATGTTTTAACTCACCTAGTACCCTGAATGGGTGGAGTTTTCACTTTATTACCAATATAATGGTTTCAAATGGGCAAACTCAAACTAACACACCTATGATGCTGTGGATTGTTGTGATAAAATGGTAAGGCCAAATTAATGGAATGAGACATGAACATCAATGACACAGGCCACTGGATGTCTGTGTAGTAGCTAGGCATTTAAATTGAAATATTGATAGGTGTGTGTGTGTGTGTGTGTGTGTGTGTGTGTGTGTGTGTGTGTGTGTGTGTGTGTGTGTATCAGGATGACCCTGAGAGAATATCATATTTATTCACAAAGTTGCAATGTCAAAGTAAATGGTTGTTTGCAAAGGCACATTGACAAAAGACCAAATAAAACAGTAAATTGTCAATCTGCTAGGATTATACACACCCTACCTCCCAATGATGAAACATAAAATTGCAAAACAATGTGGACCAAGACATGGATCTTTTAATTTGGCTTTTTGTGTTTGTAATTGAGAAAATATTTTTGAGGGAGGTTGATTGAGTTGCATTGCCGTACTGTTGAAATTAAAACATTTTAGAAGCATGGGCAGACCAGACCCGCAATGAGAGAGCAGCAGGGGAGGCGCTATCACATGGGGCAGAGCAGCCTCCAGAACATGATTCATCCCAAAATACGTCAACCTGCGGTATATTATGGGATGTGTTTTTACCATGCTACATATGGACAACTCATTATATCAGTGCGACTGCTTTATCAAGCTAAATTAGAACAATGTATGTCCTGTTAGTGGAAATATTACATTACGGGGAAATGTACATAAGTGTGATAAACTCATGAATCCTCTGTAACATACTGACAAACTACCTATGGATGTCCAATTATGATAACCCAAAGGTGAGGTGGCTGTATGACAATGATTACTCTCAATGATTTCATTAAACAATAGCTGTGACGATTTAAAAACTGATCTGTGTCTGAGTTTTGTTACTGTGTGTCTGAATGTTGGTATTATTTACTGTAAATGTACTAAATTTGCACATTCAGTATTTATAATAATTAATTTCACAATGATTTTCACCTCTAACATTATTTTCTTGTGTGCATATATTAGTATTCTACATATTAGTACCCTATATTATTACTCTGCATTTATTGTGTGTGTGTGTGTGTGTTTGTGTTTGGGTCTGTGTGTGTTTAGCATGTGAGCCACAGTGTTTTCAATCAGTCTAACGAGTGGCAGGCATCCAGGCGCGGAGGCGGGCTGATTAAGGCTCTGCCAGGCGCTGGAGGCAAGGAGGGGGAGTGGAGGGGAGAGGAGGAGGAGAGAAGGCTGGGGCTCAGGGAGAGGGGAGAGGGGGCTGTGTGGTGGTGCTGGGCTGGGGGATTGGTGAGAGCGGAGAGAGGGCCACGGATCAGGAACCAGGATCCCCAGGGATGGAGCAGGTGCAGGCTGCGAGCGAGGCCTTTGGGCCCGAAGGGGCACACAGAGCTTAAAACAATCTGCACAGCTCCTTTTTTTAATTTTCCTTTTCTGAAACACCCCACCTCTCTCACTGCCTCTCTTTCTCTGTGCCCCCTCTCTTTATTTTTCTCAGTCTCTCTCCTTAGCCCTCTCCCTCTCTCTCTCACGCTTAACAGATCAGCGCTCCACAAAGAGGGATAAACACAGAGAGGAAAATTAAAAAGGGAACTCCCCTGGCACACCAAAACAAATTAGAGCAAACAAATTACACCGAGTCAACACACAAATACTGGAGCATCTGTGGCTCTGGACTGACTGAGTGGAGCTGGTGGCATCCTCAACCTCAGACACTACCATTACAATATTGTACACTCTCTCAAACCAACCCACACACTCTACACTCATAGAGTTACACTAACAAACTTTAACAGATTAATTCCAACTATCATGTTTACAACAACAACAAAAAAATCTAGTTGGGTATGCCATGAATGTGCATTCACGACTACAGAATGAATCCGAGATTGTTAGCTCAGTATATTTAAGAGTAGGCCCATACACGTGACATACAAGAGGTATGAGAAGTTAGTGGTATGTGAATATTTCAGGGTAAAAATGTGTATGTTTCAAAAACTGTTTGTAGGAGTGACTTGTTCAATTTGTGCTTAAATCGTAATGTGCGTGAATTCAAGTCCTAATACATGATACATATGTTCTGAGTTTTTATAATAATTTTGAAGTTAAAGTTCTGTCTGTACATTTCACTAACCATGGCTAAATTCACTGTATATCAACATATTCAAGCATGTTGATCTGTTCCTCTGTGAGTGTGAATGTGTGTGTTTTGATGGTTTTGGCTGGCCCTTCCCTTGGCCCTCTGGCAGTGGCAGTGA